GGGGGGGGAATATCTTGCCAGCATCCTCTTGGCTGCACGGTGTACGACATTTAGTCACTGTCACCAGCACCGAAGAAGATTTTGACAGGCAACCAGTCATCGCCGCAGACCTTGAAGCTGTTCTCCTTGTGAACCTCATCAATCTGAGCAATCTCCTCATCGGTCAAGCTCCAGCCCTCGAGATCAATGTTGGCCTTGATACGCTCCTCAGTGACGCTCTTAGACAGCACACTCCAGCCCTTCTGGACACCCCATCGAAGGAGCACCTGCTGCACAGTCTTGCCCTTGGACTCGGCGAGCTTGGTGAGGCTGTTAAGCTTGTAAAGCGGCGAATCGCTGCTACCGAGGGGCGAATAGGCCGAAGCATGAATGCCCTTCGAGCGCAGATACTCGACAAGGTGGGGGGATGGGTTACCAGGGTGAAGTTCGATCTGATTAACGGCCGGAACAATCTGTAATTGAATGTGTGAGGACCTCGTCAATTCACAACAAAACTTGAAGAGGAGGAGCACAATCTTAGCTTACCTTGGTGCTCTCGGCGCTCAAAAGCTTCTCTAGGTTCTTGACTCCAAAGTTGCTGACACCAATGTTCTTGACCTTGCCGGTGTCAACCAGCTTCTGCATCTCGCGCCAGGTGTCCACAAAGTCCCAGTCGTTGTACACCTCCTTGGTGTTTCCCTTCACAAGACTGGCGGGCCAGTGCATCAGGTAGAGGTCAACGTAGGGGGTGTCCAGGTTCTTGAGCGACGTATCGATAGCTTCGGCGACATGCTTGTGCCAGTCGTTGTCCAGCTTGGTGGTAAGCCAGATCTTCTCGCGTGGGACGCCGGAGGCCTTGATGCCTTGGCCAACCTCCTTCTCGTTACCGTAGGCATACGCGGTGTCGATGTGAGTATAGCCGGCACGTAGGGCGGCCTCGACGGCCTTCTCGACCTGACCAGGCTTGGACTGCCATGTCCCGAGGCCAACGGCGGGGATCTCGTCGCCCGTGTTGAGCTTGTGAGTCTTGCTGCTGTTGACAGTTGTAAGCTTGGGTGAGCTTCTTCGAGGGGTTCCTCCTGGCACTTCATCGCCAAAGTAGAGGTACTTACAGAGGAGCCATGGTGTTTGTTTTACTGAAGAAATGTCTGGTGGTTTTTGTGATGCTCGGTACTCTGGGAATTGCGCGTGAGACAGGCAGCATAAAAGACAACAGAAAGTTTGGATGATTGAGAATCAACGACGACTGGAAGGGCAGTTCAACATGATTTATAAGGCTTGGAGCCCCTCTCTTAGTCAACCCCCACTTTCTCCTCCCACGAACGGTGGAGAGCCGATTCCTATCCGTTCCAATGCAATCTTCTCCATCATTCTGGTGCCTGTTTGTATTACTTTACGAGCTGGCTCTGACGGATTTGGGCTCTCCATCCCACGCTTCTATGTAGTGTAATGACGTTGATGGGCACCATAAGGTACCATAGCCCCGCACCTCTGGGGATAACAAAGAAGAGCAACCTAGCTTTATGCAAGTTCCTGCAGGTTCCAAGGTCGAAGCGCGAACTGGGCGGCCAAACTCCAAATGGTGGGGGGACGCCGCTCTGTGGAGCGGATTGGGGACAACTGGCGCAGGTCCCGTCATAGGCTCATAGCTAAGACGGGAAGGACGGGTAGCCCGGCCCGATGACCGGGGCTGGGAATCGCCCCGGAGTTAAAACGGGGACCGCTATAAGCCGGGGTCCTCCCGCCACTCGACAGTCCACAGACCTAAGACTTTAGGAGTCTAGATAGGATCAACTGGAACTTTCAATGCTTATCTTGTCTCATCAGGTCGCTCAAATTCTCTATTAATGATAAAACTCGCTATCATACGAACAACTCCGCGACTGCTCTCCATACGCATAGGCATCATGTATGCGGCCATGGTCGTCTCTTAGCCACCACTTCATCAGCAGCACCCCAATATTAAACCCCAGCAACCTAGCCGTCGGTCCCGCTGCTGCGGAAAGTAGCACACAACGCCGCATAGTGATGCGTCAAGTCCAGCACGTTCTGTGGCAGGTTGGTCGCCTGGATGATACTCCTGACCTTTACAGCACCCTCGTCCTCGATGAGTGTCCGGATGGTATGTAGTAGTTCGGGTGAGAATTCGCTGTACCACCGATACTGCCAAGTTACCAACCTGATGAGAGCGGCGACACTCTCGCGTGTGCTCTTTTGCTTCTCAAACACCTTGAGAATACCGGCGAGAGCCTTGGGGCTGAAGCGCTGACCCAAGCACGCCCGGTATGCCTCAACCGCTTCATCCGTATGCTGTAGGCGTTCTGCGAGACTGCCGAGAATCTCCCACTCTTCCGCCGACTTTTTGTACTGCATACTCTGCGCTCTGTACTGGGCCATCTGGGTGCGCCAAATGGTATATACGCGAAGATCTTCGTAAAGGACCATGAACAAGCTGTCTAACCACCGTTCACATAGACGCTTGTTATTGAGGCGAGAGAAGTGATCCTCGTTATCACCCTATCATGTGTTAGCATCGTGTCCAGAGTAAACTGCCAAAGGGAAGCATCGGCTTGGAGACGTACGTTTTCTTCGGCCTTGCGGACTACCTCTGGGTCGATAGCGCTAGGAGGTCTCTCCAGGCCTTCCGTTTGCTCAGCAGCCAAAGTAGCATTCTTCTTTTCGTCCTCAACCTCGTCAGTTTCGGCACCCTCCTTGGGAGCGGTTTCGCCGTTCGTAGTATGATCCGGGCTTCCACGGAGCGCATCGGTGCTAGCATTGCGCTTGGCAGGGTAAGAGGGTTCCTGCTTCTCGTTTCGATACTCGTCTTCCATGACAAAAACGTTGCTTCTGATCTTGAGAAGTTGATCCCAGCCAATCTTGGCGGTCATCTCGGTGAGAATGCTGTATGCCTGCTTGAACGTTCCCCGATATGCAGCGGCGCGAAGACCAAGCAGACTTGGGTCGACCTGCTCAGAGAACCTCGAATCTGGCTCGCTGTCGATTTCGTCCAACCTGGTCTCTGGGAGGGTCGGTAGGTTAACGTCTTTGGGTTCTGGCATAACAGGCGCATCCTTGTCCTGGTATGTGAACATGGGACACGAGTTGAGGATGGTCAAGGCATTCTCCCAATCCTCCATTGCAACATAGACCTGGGCCAGTCTTGCCCACGTGCCGAACTCACTGGGAGCGGCTATCGTACTTCGGTCTGCACAGCCCAGAGCCATGCGTAGTCTTTCCTCCCTCAATTCTGGCGTTGGGGCAGTTTCGGCCTTTTTGAGAAGGAATTCGGCCTGGGTATCAAGCATAACGTAATCCATGGGCGATTCCTTGAGGGCCTCGTACAAAACACGGACTCCTTGCACCTCCTCGTTTCCCATGAAGAGCACTTTTGCCAAGAGCGAAGCCACTTCAACGTTTTGCGACCGAAGCTTCTCAAAGAGATTGATACCGGAAGTGTGGCGTCCTGTTGTGGAGAAATACTTTAGGAGGCCGGCTGTCAAGTGGTTAGAGACATTGTTGGGCACCTGCACCACGGAGTCGGACCCAAGTTGCCAGCCTATTTAGGAGAGTCAGTAAATCGATGTTACGCAGGGCGAACAGCTGGGGAGTGTTACCCCTAAAGAAGAGCTGCTCGGCAGCGCTGAGGAATTTGTGTTCGGTCTCGGTACTGGAAACCGGGTTGAAACGCCGGACGCCCATGATCTTTCTGATAGTCTCGCCGCTTCCATCGTCGGCATACGAGTATGCACGGAGAACACTGCAGAGGTATGTTTCGAGCCAGAGTTCGTCGGTCGCCTTTCGTTTTTCGCCCCGCTCGTCAACGCAATAGCTATCTACGGAGCCGGGGAAGGGAGCGTGTACGCGCATGTCGACGCGGGAGAAGGCATTGTAACAGCTAGAACGAGTAGTTGTTAGGGATAGCCCAGAACGCAGTCGGTCAAAGAGAGGTATTACCAATAAGTTCCTTCGACGGTTTTGGCAGTGGCGGAATTGCCAAACTCCTTGTAGGTCAGGGTGTTGATGTAAGCAGCCAGACTGGCCGAGGAGGACGCGTCGACGCCGGTGACATGGTGATAGACACCATACTGATGGATGCGCAGGTCAGCGATGGCTGTCGTGTTGCATATGGATGAAGTCGGAGAGACTGGTTACGTACGTGCTTTCCGGGGTTCTTCAGGGGCTGCTTGACCAGGTGTACGAGGTCGGGGGGGCCAAGCTCCCTGAGAGAGCTCAGAGACTCGGTACGAGTGTCAACCGCTTCATGCAGTATCTCTTCGGTGATCCTGTGTGAAATCAAACGTTAGTTTCGGCCGAGGTGCGCTTGGTTGAAGTACCCAAGACAAAGGGTAGACTGTAACTCTAAACGGGAATCACGAACTCGGGGACAGCTGGCGCAACCATGGTGAGGGCGATGGACCGCCAGGCTGCGGCGGGATGTTGATGGTTGGTTTACAGTGGTTAGAACAGAGAGCAGGCGATCTGGAGGCGCAATTGCCTGTGTTATCGCAAGTTATCGTCGCCAACAGTCAGCCGCCCTGTTTGTCATCCAAGGTCGGGACAAAAACGGGGAGTTGATTGACCGAAAAGAGGGATCGTCGACTTGATGGTTCAGCCTATTCACAGCTGTTTTGAGTTGAGGTGCCGGTTCGTGGATTGGTGCTTGCCTTCCAAGGGCGGCGGGCAGTGGGGGATACTCCTTCTGGCTTCGGGCCCGACCCATTAAAGCCAGCAGTGCATGTACACTACCGCCAGCACATGGAAGCTCAGCCCACTACGGCAGGAGCTCGAGCTCCAGCTCATGGACCCTGGGCTGCGTGTCTGGCTGTCCGTATCGCAACAATGGAAAACAGGGGCAGGCAGGCAGCTTGAAAGACGGGAGCACAGGCCACACGTCCATCCCTGCCATTCCCTTTCATGCACCGCCGGGCAGCTTCGGTGATGGGAGCTTCCATTCATGTGCCTGCCGTGCCGTGATGGATTGTGAACCCTGCTGGCACACCTCCGCATAGAGCACACTAACAATTAATTTACCTGGCACCCGGCTCTACGGTACAGTAGTGTACTAAGCAGTGTCCAACAACGCAATCGCGTCTCACTTTGGCCCAGGTCGCGACTCTTGACGACTACCTCTCTCTACCTTACCTACTTCCCGTCGACAACACTAACAGGCAAGACAGATGATCTTCTGCCTCTTGGACCAACACTTGATCACTGGGCTACACCGTATACCACACCCGGCATCTCTATACCGTTGCGCCGTCACTTTTATCACTTGTTAACCGCATGAAAAGAGTATCGATTCTGGCAACATGGTAAGATTGGATTGGCCGGCAGCTTGGGGTGTCCTCTTCAGCGCATCTTGTGGAAGACGGCCAACCTGCTGACATCTCTGTTTTCTGTAGCCAACCTTTCAGGCGATCAACGTCGAGCCCGAAGAGAACGTCGATGAGGAAATCGACACAACCAAGCAAATTCAAGTACATATTGTCTGCCCGTCGTGATTCTCGCCAGCTCGACCGCTTATAGAAGTCTTGTGACAGGTCGATGATGCCTTGAAACTATTCCAGAACGCCCTCAAGCTCCACGCCCAAGGGCCCCGATTCTTTGACGAAGCTTCCGACGCCTACAATGCCCTTTTTGAGTCCGAGATATTCAGATACCCCGAGAGCAAGACCGAGTACGAGCGCACCGAGGAGCGACCGGATGGCACTCTTGTCGTTGAACCCACCCTTGCCCAGGGGCTCGAGGTCGGTGCTGCCGATGTAGATGGGATCGCCAGCACTCTACCGCAGACCTTGTACCTATCCTTCAAGAATCACGGCCAATTCATAGTCGATCGGATAAAACACAAAGCACGGGCCAGCAAACTGGGTAGCGAGTTCGATTACGATGATGCCGCCATTCAACATGACGCCAAGAAAGCCTTGGACGAGTTCAGCGCCGCCCTCGACTATGACCCATCCGATGCCGACTTGTGGAGGAAGACCGCGAGGATTGCCGCTTTTCTCAAGAGCGCACGAATTAGTCGCTACAGTCTGGAGGCAGCTGTGGAATTGGACGATGACCCTGCTGTTACCGATTTTGAGCCCCCTTCGCTCGCCGAAGGATTCGCTGGCGAACAGCTCAAACGACAACTCGAGATCCTGGACGACAAGATGGCCCTTAGCCACCCTATCATGAAGTCATTTCGTGAAAAAGGTCTTCCGAAATTCTTGGAGCGTTACCTCGATCCGATACCATCGCTCCCTGATCACACCAAAACAATGGCTGCGCCAAGACCGGACTCTGACGAGGTTGGCCAACCTCGTCTTGTCATGAATATCCCAAGCTACTCCTGGACAGAACTTGGTATTGCGTTGGTTCACTTCATGGCGGAACATGGGTTTTCTGGTCAGGCTCTCACGATCCAACTACCAGAAGGAATCGTCGAAGATGAAGATGTTCAGATGGAGATTGATAAGCAGTTGCAGCCTCCCGAAGAAAGTACACAGGAGGAGGAGGCGGCGGTGGCGGCTGAAGTCACTTCGGCGGAGAAGTCTGGGGCCCAAGACACCGAAGAAGCTGAATTCAGCCTTAGAGAGACCAAAGTTACTATTGTCGAAGAGGCCAGAGCGGCTCAGCCCCCAAAGGACCGAACATCTTCGTTGCCGACAAGAAAACGTTCGCAATCTGCCGCTGGCATACCAGATCCAGCAGATGAGGAGAAAGGCGAGACCAAGAGGAGCAAGAGGACGAGACGAAGGGAAACAGCACCGGAGGAGGCTATGGATTCTGCCACACTTCTCGCCACTCAGCTTCAGCCCTTCCAAGCCGCCGACCAGAACCTCTTTCAAATGACTAAAAATTTTCTGGAAAATCTGGGAGTGACAGACCGAGATACACTGGACAGGATAACCGAGATCCTGGATTCCTGCGCTTCGGATGATCGGACAAGTAAGATCCAGAATCCTGCTACCACTGATTTGCGTGAAGCAATACTTCATTTCGACGAAGAAACTGCTAGCATCCTGCTGGACGGGAGAGAAAGTCCACCACTTAGCCTGTCTGCTTTCCTAGAACACTCCAAATCACCATCCCAAAGGGCAATTGAGCCGCCCCAATTCGACGATGTACGAAATATTCGTGGTTTCGTCACGAGAATGAACTCAGGCTGGAATACCATCCAGGATGTCGTCTATGAGTATGTCAAATCTCTTGCAGAGAGCTACTCAACAGAGAAATGGTCAGATCAGATGAAGGTTGCTGTGGTTCAAGTCATTAGCCGATTGGACGAAGGAATCTACGAACGAGTCGTTTACGACCTTGAGCAATGGCAGCTGAGCGACGCGAGCGGGCACCAGCCTCCTACAGATATTGTCGATCTGGTTTACATGCTTTTTGAGTTACATCTTGATGTGTACGAGCGGATCACGAACCCTAACAGCGTCGTGGAGCAAATTACGCGGACAAAAGCGCGGATAAGGTTGGGGAGGTGGTGGGATTTAGCTACGCAGGTCAGCCGGCGACGCCATCGCGGAACTGATGATGCTTTGACAATCCGCTTCCTTTGGGCAGCTGTGGTCTTCATTACAGTTACTGAAGGGGTACCCCGCGAACACATTCTCAAGTGCTGGCATAGTCTGCGCGATCATCTTGCGATAACTACGGTCCCCGATATTGTTCTGCCAAACAACGCAGTGATGCCGGAGATTTCGGTAGCCGCTGCCGATCGTGAAGTTAGCAAGCTAACAACCATGGAGTTTTTCCTGGGTCTCTTCCAAGAAGAACAGGACAATCCCGTGTCCGTTATCGATACTTTGGAGCCTGTGCTTAATCCCGAATCAGTCTGCATCAATAGCCCAGCTGCTCCGAACCCTGCTGAAGACGCAATGGACGAAGACACCGAGCCTGCTGGAAACATAAAGTCCGTCAAAGATTGCGCCAGTCAAGGGCTGCAGGACCTGTGGAACTTCATCGAGAAGAGCAGCACTGATCTCCGGTTACTGCTCTGGTCGAGGCTCGGCGACGCCTACGGCAAAATCAAGTACACCACAAAACAATTCTCGTGCTTTCTGCGGAGTATCGAAACTATTGTGCACGATTTTGAGCGAAAGGACTACGTCAACACACCACAAGCAGCTCGAAAAGAGTTGTTCATGACAATGCTCAAGGCCCTAGATGACCAAATCATTCAGTCGTTGCATCTGGCGCTGAATCACAACAATTCGTTCGATATCATTGATGAGGAACACATCAAGACTACATCAGCCGCTCTCGCCAAGGTTAGCTGTCTTCTTCACGTTGCTGCTATGTACGAAGATGAAGCCAGTGTAGGAATCATCCAACCTCCGGCAACTGGATCTCTAGCTGCATCATTTCTCAACAGACTTCGGGAGATGCAAGTGAGAACATGGTCCCTGCAATACACGGTTCTGAAGATGGGGATAAATCTTCACCCAGACATTTTCCTGACGCCCGAAAATGATCTGGCCGATTACTTGGCGGCCGTTCACCAAGTCCTTGGTCTAAGGAAATACTGCAAGTCTTCCAATAAGATCTTCCTCAAGATGATGCGGGTCGAACTGTTGAAGCTGAAGAACATCGAAAATTGGGAAGACTATCTCGGCCAAGTCCTCTATGACCTTCATGGCCTCAAGCTTGGAGTAGGGATCTGGGACGTCCAGGAGCATGACTGCCCACCTGAGAAGCTCGAGAAGCGCCAGGCATTGGCAATGGTGGAAAAGATCAGCCTCCTTGCTCACCGAATAACAATGAAGGACCTGTTGAAGTCGGACCTCAAAAACACTGTCGAATCGATGCAGCAAGCGATTGGCTCTGCCAAGTCAACTGCTCAAATGATGCACAATCATCGGAACTTTAACGAATATTTAAAGACCCCGATTCACCCATTGCATCTGTACAAGGCCCTGACCGGCAATGTCGACCTGGATGCAGTCACTATCAACACGCCGGATAGCGCACCCGCGAAGCACGGCTGGTTCTTCTTGCTGGGTATGATTGCCCTTACCAAGTTCAAGGGTGTCGACCTCAACCGTCGCCAGACTCCGGGTGCCCTGGACGATTTACGCATTGCAGTCACCTTCTTGCGATTACAGCTTCAGTACACACCAGACAGGTGGGATGCTTGGTTTCGTCTTGCCGAATGCTTCGACTATGAGTTGGATGATATGGTTCTTTGGACCGCTGATAAAATGAACAAGGACAGAGCAGATCTTGTCAAGTTCCAGCGGCAGTCGATTCATTGTTACACTCTCGCACTATCACACTCTTACGCTTCGACCTCAGATCCCAACGTCTACGCGTTATCGGGTGGAGATACGGAGGCGCTCTATGACCTATACCACGAGTTTGGCATGCGAATGTATGCATCAAGCCGTGAACCATTTGCCATGGAGCCCTTTATGCATTCGGACCAGCACCGCTTCTTCATCGAAGTATCGGGCAATGGTACTTACAAGGAGATATTGCATAATCAGATGTCAGATTACCAAGTATGGAAGTTTGCTGCGAGCTTGTTTCGAAAAGCCATGGCTGGCAAGCCTAAGGACTGGAAGAATCCATACATGATAGCGAAGTGCTTATGGAAGATGTATCAGAAGCCAGAGGACGAGCTCGATGAAAAGAACAAGCACGGCCGACCGACAGTTCAAGCGGTCATCAAGGCCCTTGAGAAAACTGTCGAGGTTGTTCGGACGCTTCCCAAACCTCGGCACAGCCAGGATCCGATTCTGGAGCCACACTACAAGATCCTATCAGTCATCAATAAGCTCGTTACCCGCGGCGACCTCCCTCACCAGGAAGCTGCAGACATTCTGCAACGACAGCCACTTGCTCCTGGCCGCGGTGAACAGGTTACGCTTGAAAACGATGAGGACTGGCACGAGTACATGCTCAGGTACATGCGTCACTTGAGAGATAAGGACAAGTCAAACTGGCAGCATCGTATGATCATTCGTCATGCTCGTCTCTTGTTCGACGGTGACGAGATTGGAGATGAGGAAGACGAGACGAAGAAGGAGGCAAGCAAGGAGGCTGCTTCCAAGGCCTTTGCGGTTTTGCGCGAGAACATGTTCACCAAGACGATGGTGATGAACGTCTGGAAGTGTGATGCTGAACGGCCCGGTCGTCATCATGTCTACACGGAGCAGTACATCCGGTACATGGCCCGGCTGTTGGCCGTCATGAATGACAGAGCCAACCTTGAGGCAGTACTGCGACGCATTCGGAAGAAAGGTGTCGACTTCTACCACTTCAGCGAACTATGGCAACATGGCGTGCAGATATACCTCAAGATGATCCGGAAGGCGTTCAATATTCCAGCAAATGATGAGGATCCTTTCAAGAACGTTGCACCAGAGGACTTTGAAGCGGTGGCTGAGAAGATTGTGGAATGGGTCATCACGCCAGAGGCTGAGAATCATGCCGCCCTCAACGCCATGAAGGAAGCGATCGAGCTCAAGAAATTGAACGCCAACTTGATGAAAGCTGGACCGATTGATGATTTGATCAATGATTGCTACTCGATCATCCATCACGAAATGGTTCCTGAGCGAGCTGTTTCGGAGACGCCGCAAGGCGGTGATGAATATAGCCGGGCTGGTGAGGGAGAGTTGACCACGAAGCCGGCAGAAGGAGAAGAACCCAAATCCATGACTCTCAGCATCCTGCCGGCTCTTCAGGAGAGAGAACGTGCTGCTACTGCTGCTGCCGCTGCTTCAGGTTCTCTGCGGGCCCCGTCCGAGCAACCCGACAAAATGTCAGAAAAGCAACTATCCTTTAATGGGGACATCGCTCACCGCGGTCGCAAGCTTGGTGTTCGGAGACCGGATGTCCTACGCAAGGCCGAACAAGCCGTGTTGAGGGCCGCAGAGGGCCCACCGAAAGCCTTGTCCGGCGTCACCAGATCATCACGAAAAGGCTCCGTATCTAGTGGTAGCGGAAGGAAGGGTCAGACAACCCGTGATGAAGGCGCTGATGATGATAACGATGAGACAGACGAAGATGTTACTCGCCATGATGACGAGGATATTACGATGAAAGACGCTGATGATGAAGACAACAATCGGCCTCGCAGTCGCCGCAGCAGAAGAGGACAAGACGATACCCAGATGGCCGACGATGAGCATGAAGAAGAAGCAATGTCCTCTCCTCCTGGTAGCGTTCACGACTCAGCCGACGACGAGAGCGACCTCAGTGATGTACCGGCTGACTACGAGGACGATATTCCCCCATCCCTACTATTCCCCAACCTGAGGCGGAGCGTAGATGCCTCTGCCGCCGGTGGTGCCGTTGCCGCGTCTGCTACGACCCCTCTTACCCCAGGCAGACCTACGATATACAGTTCGAGCTCGGAATCAGGCAGTAGTAGCGCTGACGAGAAGGCAAAATCGGAGCCAAAGCGGACGCCAAGGAAGCCGAGCTGGCATAAAAGCCAGGCAGCCAAAGCTCAGCATGAGCGGCCGGGAAGCAGTAGCATTGATCAGCATAAGGCGACCGAGGGTGGCTCAATAGGACCGATGAGGTGGGGGTTAAAGACTGGCCGACCTCGTAATGGTAGTGGTACGAGTGCTTCTGCTGTTGTACATGGAGTGCCGGGGACGGAGGATGTTGAAGACGAGGAGGAAGATGAAGTGGAAGGGGAGGTCGAAGATGAGGATGAGGATGAAGGCGAGCACGAGGACGCTGAAGAAACCGTTGAGGAGGTTGGAGAGACAGAGGAAGAGGGAGATGGGGATGTGGATGTGGATGTGGATGAGGAGATGGAGGATGGGGAAGGCGAGGAAGATGTTGAAGAGGGTGAAGAGGATCATGAAGACGATGAAGATGCTGAAGCTGAAGAGGAGGATGAGGAGGATGAGGAGGAGGCCGAAGAAGCGGAGGAAGATGTAAGGCCAGGCGAGCATAAAGGTGATGTAGAGGAAGGCACAGAGGGAGAAGAAGAAGAAGAGGAGGAGGAGGAGGAGGAGGAGGAAGAGGAAGAGGAGGAGGAGGGTGCTGAAGAGGTAGAGGATGGAGAAGGTGATGAAGGTGATGAAGAAGAGGAGGAGGCAAATGAGGAAGAAGGCGATGAGGAAGAAGGGGACGAGGAAGAAGGGGACGAGGAAGAGGAGGAGATTGGGGATGAGGATACGGATGATGAGAGTGAGCATGACAGTTCGACAAAGGGAAATTAGGGGCCTCTACCTTCGTCTTTACCTTGTTTAGGGTCGCTTGACTCAAGCTCAGGGTCATCGAGCCCCGGCGAGTTTGACAAGTTTGAGGATTTTTGGCGCCGGTGACGGAACCCCAGAATAACACACACCAAACGTTGGGAATGGCGACGCTGGATCTAGAGTAGAAATCTTTTCGGGAGTTTATCATTAGGAAGAGCGGGTCTTGCCAAAACAAATTATTCGTCTTCACATTTTGTCATTGCTCAGGTGTGGCTCTGCCTTCTACTTCTCATGGACGTACGATAGATATACTTGCAATCTCATGGTAGAGGTAGTCTTCCTCGCCGTCATTGTTACTGTGAAGTAGACTGTAAACCCTAACCCCCTGTATTCGGCCCAAAGTCTGTGCCTGCCGGAATCCGGTGAGGGCCTTGATGGCCCAAGTTTTCGTCCTTGTTGAGAAAACAAACCGACCACGTCACGGTCAGTACCTGGAGATGACACCTTGGAAATCCTCTAATCAAGAATTCGAGCATACTTGATGTATTCTGGACTTGAGTCCTAGGCAGTTCCTGACTAGATAACTCTGGTCGATGCGCTTTCAAATCATGGTGATCCCTATCACAGATTGGTAACGGCCTTTCCAAGCCCAAGGCATTCAACATGCTCGCGTTGCATCACCCGCGGCATGAACCAGGACGGCCCCGCTCTGAATGCCACCACAAATAGCCCCACAGTAAACCGCCCTACCGGTCTTGGCACCTAGCACTTGCCGTGGGGCGTGGAGTGCTGCAGCCTTGACGACGGAGCTCTCGCTCTTTCTCCTTCGTGGACATCAGTCAGCAGCATCTTTCAACCATTCATCATCACATTCTCTTTGCTAGGTAATAAACACAGCGTGTTAGCGTGTCAACAGGCAACAAGAACAGTATATCCTCAACTACTATAAGACACTGTTCGTTGCGTCGTCAGTTTCTACATCCTTGCTTTGCCTTTTTTTTTTTCCCCATAAGCAAAGAATACCTCACCAGCCCAGTCCGCTTACCCCGCCATCAACACGAGCACGCAAACAAGTTTACCTATGCACGCCTTGTTTGTTGACCAACGTCACCGCCGTCGGTCATTTTACTAGGTCACTTTGAGTCTCACAACTGCCAAATCACATTTGAGGTGGTCACAGCATCTGAAGTTGAACATCCATCTCTACCTCTTATCCGTCTTCACCCGCTACATCAGTCATCGTTGGGTACATCCCGTCCAAGTACTACTTGGTTTAGTCGAGTGTGTTACCTACCAGCAACCATGGCCTCCACGAAGCGCATCGCGAAGGTAAATACCACATCGTTTGCCCTGCCTTTTGAACCTGACGACATCCCTAAAGAGGAAGAAGAAGGAGAAGGAAAAGATGAAATAGAAGACCCACGAAACTAACCCTATTGTTCGCCCTCCGTCCAGGAATTCGCAGACTGCACCACCGCCCCACCCCCTGGCATCTCCATCACCCTCCCCTCTGACGCCGACCTACACACCTGGCACGTCACCGTCACGGCGCCCCCCAACTCCGTCTACGCCCCCGGTCGCTTCGGCCTCATCCTCAAGCTTCCCACCGATTACCCCTTCAAGCCTCCGACCATCAATTTCACGACGCGCATCTACCACCCCAACATCACCAACGACTCGCTGGGGAACATCTGTCTGGGCCTGCTGAAATCCGAGAACTGGAAGCCCGCGAGCAAGATCATCAGCGTGCTGGAGGCTGTGCGGAACATTCTCGTCGAACCGATGCCCGACGACGCGCTCGAGCAGCGCATTGCGGATGAGTACCGGAGGGATCGGCCCGAGTTTGAAAAGAATGCGAGGGCGTATGTGGAGAGGTATGCAAAGGGGTCGGTGAATTTTGTGCAGGCTCCTCCTCCTCCGGAGAAGAAGGATGGTGCGCCTGCGGGTGCTACTACTGGTGCTGTGAATCCTGGTCGCGCTGCTGGTAGGCAAGGAGGTGCTAGCTCGGGTTCGGCGTCCCGCCCTGCTCCACCTGCGTAGGGGCAGGGGCGTAGGTGATAGGTGGCTGCTAGAAGATATACGCCTTTTGTCACTTGATGAAGCTGTTCGAAATGCATAGCGATGACACAGAGTCTCTGTGATACGAGCGACGTGATGCGTAACGGGGATGGGAGGTTCGTGACAAGGATTCTTTAAACGGCACATGTGCGACAGGATTAGAAGGAATCGAAAGAAGCCGGGTGTATGGCAAGCTCGTTACCAAAATAACTGGACTTGATGAATGAGGCTAGTATTAGGCTGGAGATGGTTATTGAAGGGAAAAGTGTTTAACCAGAACTGGATGTGGCGATCACTGGACGCCTGGGTTGGTATGAAAACTGTTAGACATCAACGCAAGACAAGGCCAATAGTGATAGGCATCATTGATCATGGGAACGAAGAGTGGAGGAAACACATCGCACTGGCTCAGCTGAATGATGGAGCATGCTTTATTAGGAGGCTCATAGCAATGTTTAATGCGAAAAGTCCGGGAAATTAGATTTGAGCTCTACATAACCTCAAAAAAAAGAGTCACAATGAATACCCACTTTTGCTCCGTTCAAGTCATGATTAATTGTACGTAGTTCAACTTATGCAATATGCTTATGCCTATGCTTATGCTATGCTATGCTTTCGAATCTCGAACTTGTCCCCTTCATAGCAACTCGCTCTCTTTTTCTCTTTCCCTTTCCTTTCGCCTAAAATCTTGACCATATGTGACCTTGAAAGAATGAATCCCTTGCCTTTGCCTTACCTTGGCTCCTTCTAAAAAACAAAACCATTCCGCGTATTTTTTTTGAGATCGATCCCCTCTTCCTCTCGTGTACATACAAACGCAGAAAAACAATCAAACGAACAACAACAAGACACAAAGCGCCGCAACAACCACTTCCCGACCACCCAAGGAAGATATGTACAAAGGAAAAGACAGGGAGATGCGCCTCTGCAAGAGGATGTGGTTGGTAATGATAGAGATTGAGGGTGCTATAAGGCGCATAGGCTTCGCCTATGCATAATGGAAAGGTATAAACAGCCCCTTCCCTTTTGGGGAATGGAAGAATTAACAAGACTTGTGAGTCATGACAACATCAAAGGTAAAGTAGGTAGGTAGTAGTGTAGACAAGATACAAGGGAATTGTTGAGGAAGACGTCAAGTCAGCCGAATAAACTGGATGAGGTGTGTTGTTGTATGTGTCTTTGTTGTGTTGGATAAAAGGCTAAAACCTTTCAAAGGATATATGCTATGGTTTGATATGCCCATGGTGGTATCGAAAAATTACAATAGGTAAAAGGCACCGCCTGAGCGGGGGGGGGGAGTTATACAGAGCGGAGAAAAAAAAAGGCTAGTCTTGGTTGGGTATGATGCCAGCAGATAGATGATGGAAGCTTGAATGACATTCGAGTAAGAGTGGGAAAGGAAGCATTTGTTCTGCTCAGGAGCTCCCGCTCTCCAAGTGATCATGGTTATGGTTGTGATGAGCGCTTCCGCCGAGGTTTAGGTTCAGAGGACCAAGAGCAAGTATGGACACGGGCCGAGGTGCACACTACATCACCTCATCCGCCCTTGACTGTTCACGATCCCCCCTTCTTCTACTAAACAGCGTTGAAGCCTTCCGGTTGCCGTGGCCATCGTCTTCGGCAGCGAGGTCCAGCCCAGCAGCCTGCGACCTGGACGCTGGGTTTCCAATATGAGCGGCCCTATTCAGCCGGGGTCCAGCCTCACTAGCGGCCTCCTGCAGGGCCCTCCACTTTTGGATGTTTTCGCGTCGTTCCTGTCGCTTCTCCTCCACCGCTTCCTGAGTCAGGTGTCCGATGCCGTTGCGCCGCTTGTAGCATGCCTCCATCAGCATGTTGCAGTCGATCAGCCGCCGGGGGAACGCCTGTACCACACCAAACATCTCCATCGGATCCTGGACCGCCCTGATCTCATTCTCGCCGAGCTTGAAGATGGTGAGGGCGATGCGGAACAGGGTGCGAGAGCCTTCGTAGAAGAACACATCCCAAACGCGCAGCACGGTTTCGATTGGGAGCGTTCCGATAAAACACGACATGAACCAGGCCGTCATGCACAGTGTGATGGCGGGGAGTCGGTTCGGATCGCTGATGCTGAGGTTCTTGCCGCCGTGCCTCACGCGGTTCCCTAACCGGTGTCTTCTGCTGGGGTTCCCTTCAAGCTCGTCTCCACCAATCTGCTTCCAGACGTTGGGTAACGAATCCTTCAACGTCCCCATCAGCACACCAAGATCGACCTTGGAGCCTTCCAAGCTCATTTCATGCGTCCCTGGTAAGTAGACTCGCGTTATGACGTTCAACAGCCAGAATGCCTGCTCTTCGGTTTCGACAAACAAAAGAAGCAACCCAGCCAAGAAGTTCAGCGATTGGCAGTAGCCGATCCGTGGATTGTACAAGGCAAATGCATGGAGAACGCGGCGCAGAGAGCTGATAATTTCGGGCTCCTGGGCAGGGTCGGCCGGTTGGGTGACGCCCGGGATATATCCACTAGCAGCCTGGCTGTCACCACCAGGTGTTGTTGATGGTGGCGGTTTGAATCGTATGTTATCCGGGAATGTTCGGTGTAGATCCTTCTCGATGTCTTCGCAGATCAACGGCTTTACTTCACCCTTTGCATCCGGCAGCCTGCCTGGACCTTTCGGATCTAGGCCTGCACGCCTGACCAAGTCATCGTATACACCCCTGTGCTTGCTGAGAAGTGCTGGCCCTCCGGCGTAATAAAACCAAGCTGCACCGCGCCAGTCGGGCGGAATGCCTTTCCGAATAAACCTCTTGGTCTTGTTACTTCTTGGGGGAAACCTGTTCGGCCTGTCCGTCATGAGAGAATTATCCTTGAGAAAAGCAATCCATTTCCTCCTGCGGCGTGCCAGGTATTCGCTGTATTGGGCATCCCAGGCGTCATACTGCTGACGGGTAACGTTGGAATTGGCTTTTCGGAAACCATATCGGTCACGGCTACCCGGTTCCTCCGGTGGTTCGACTGGCATATTCGCTGTTGGAATCGGTGTCAGGATGGCGCGAAATTTCTCCTCCTCCACTGCCGCTTCCTCCTCCTCCTCCTCCTCTTCTTCTTCCTCCACTTCGTCAAGGTCAGGGGTATCCATCGGTTCCATCGACTCCATCGAGTCCGTCGGTGCCGCGGGAGTACCTGCCATGGCGGGTTCCTGGGCCTGCAAATCAATTACATTATCGCCATCCATTAACTTGGCTGAGTCGTGCTTCGCCGGGTCCTTCGCGTCAGATTCCTGCCTCCTCCTTTCCATAGCCTCCCCGCTTATTGATTCCTGCCTCTGCTTCTCCATATACTCTGTAATACTCTGTTGCCTTTTCCTCTCCATGTCTTCGGTGATCGCCAAGCCAATGTCCTTTGGCAACGAGTTCATAAGTCCCGATTTCCGGAGAATGAAATTGGATAGCCTGGCAGATTTTCGGGATATTGGCCTCGCTCCAGGTAAAGGCAGTGGGTCGTCGTGCATCGCCTCGAAGATTTTAGTCGTCCGGTCGGTGTCGGGGTCCGAATGACTGGTGGCGGGCCGGGAGTTATCCCCCATCGGAAATACTCCGATGTCCGGGTCAAAATGGTCGGTATCGTCCAAAAACCTCCGGCTTTTGCGAAAACCGATGTTATCAATTTCCGAATCATTAAAACCCCGCTCATACATGACCATTACGTCCTCGATACTCGGGCCGTCGTCGGCCACCGAATTCGTTCGCCAACTTGCGCGAGCATAGCCATTAATGATGGATTGCTCAGTGATGCTGTGGGTGGTTAGAATACTGCAACGCTCTCCAGAATTCGTAGCAAATGGAGAGCGAAAGCTTGGTGGCCTAAATTCCTCCTGTATCCACGCCGGAGGTTCGCGGGTAGTAGGCGAGTAAAAGTTGTTGTGGTTGTTGTAACTGACAGGCGGCGGAGGTCGTCCAGCAAAGGGGCGCCTTGTTACTGGCGGCTGGTCCCTGGCTGCGGCTTGAAGCTGGTCATTTGACGGACGTTTGGCAATCGAAGACGAGAACGTGCTTGACGAGTGCGAAGACGCAGTGGAGAAGCGGCGGTCCTGGGGCCATTGATTAGGCGCAATGTTTTCGTTGTATGGTGTCGGGTGGTTGTTTGCAGGGTGCAGGCTGTCGAACGAAGGTTCATCGTGATGGCGGACCGGAGGCGCCGCTCGCATGACGGAGATGTCCGAGTTCTTGGATCGTATGGACACACTCGTCTTGCGCGGACGGGAGAAGTTCTCGACAACCATGACTGAGTCCGTGTTGGCCCGGCGAGAATGGGCAATTGAGGAAGTGTAACTGTGGGCGGGCGAAGTGGGCGTTAGCGGTATTGGCGAGTGGCGCATAACCTCATCGTCGATCTGCTGACTTCCTCGGCCGATCAAGGGGAATTTGCGGGTGGACAGCCGTGTAGGCGACGGTTCCGGGTCTTCTCGTTCTTCTTGTGGTTGCAATTGGTCACGGTCGTGGTCACGGTCCTGGTCCGAATCTTCGGGCTCGAGCGCCTCGGGTATAAAGGGGTGGGAGGAGAGGCCGGGAAATACGGAGCGCGGTGTCAGTCTCGGGGTGCCAGTGGGTGTGGTCGACTCGGCCCGTGACCTCTGTGACGATCTGTGTGACGTGATGTGGTGGTTGTGATTCACTTGGAATGGACTCGGAGGGACGGGCGAAACATTTCTCGAGCGTGCATCGATGGAATCCCAGCGAGGGGAGGCCGGGGTGCGGTTTGGGAGCGCCAGGGGCACAGTCGGCCTGTGGTGGTTCATTGCACTGGCATACTGGGTGCGCTGCGGGTGTTGGGAATGCGCTTCTGGTGCTGAGGCTATTGCGGGCGATGTGCGACCATGTCCATGACTCCCTCGGCGCGGTTCCATGCGGATCGGGTGGTGGTGGTGGTTATTATCGTTGTTCAGGAGTGGTGGATGTTGCTGGAGCGGATTGCAGTGGACGGGATGATGGTGGTTGTTGTTGAGGGCCTGAGGGTGCTGCTGCTGATGGTGCAACGGACCTGAAGCGGCAGCGTCGTGTTTCGGCCAGGGTCCGGGTCCAGCATGAGCCGGAAAAGGGACGGCGCTATTGGCACCACCATTGGCACTGTTCAGCTCTGTACTATTCGGAGTCAGACGACGACCAAAGTGGAAATGGTGACTCCGTTCCCGTTCGTTTGGAGGATGCATCATGCCGGTGCCCAATGCTGTGCTGGATGGTTTAGTTTCTGGGAAAAAACACAAGAATCGATGCGTGGCTATGTCTCGTCTCGTCTCTCGGGATCAGTCATGCGAAGCCTGCAGCAGCGGCAGCAGCAGCATCATCACAGTCGGGGATCCAGAATTAGATACAGCGAGACACGGCACCAACCCAGATGCCAACCCAGATCCGTCCGTTTCGGCAGCTGCGTATCAACAGCAGCCAAGCATCAGGTTAGGTAGGGTACCTAGGGCAGTGATTTGAACCGGACCGCGGACTCGAACAGTGACTTTGGAATCGAGGACTGGTGGTGTCCAATGGAAGCCCGAGTCCGGATGGGATGAAAGCCGAATCTGGATAAAAGTGGTCTGGAAAGGGCTGTTGTTACCAGACAAGCAAGCTGGACTTGGAGATTGCCCGAGTTGCTAGCTTCTCGGAAGAAGTGGAAGAAAGGTGAAAGGAGTTAGTTAGGAAAGAGAAGGCCAGGCCGAGAGCAGAAACCCACTCGGCTCCTCCTCCCAAGTCACAATTATTTTTTTTGTTAATATTTTCGCGTCGCTAATTACCCACCCAAAATGAGGGCCATACTGACGGGAGCCTGGAGGAGAGGGACTGACTGGCAACAGGAGTCCTGACCAGAGACCAGGGAGCCGGGCCGTTCTACTGCTGCTAACAGCCACCATCCTGTCCCTGGTGGTGGATTCCCATTGAACTCTTTCTTACCTCTTCACAACGCTTTCGACTTGCGTATTCTGTCTGGTCCCACAGTCTTCGCTTCAAGTCGCCCGCTGTGGAGTCCGAGAGCATGCATTCGCGGAAAAAAGGAATGTGAGCTTTGTGATAGCATTTGGAGGTTGAATGAGAAGACTGCAGCTGAGTGCTCTCAAATCCCCCTCCTCCCCCCCACGGAAATTGCCCACTGTGCCTGAAAGCTGAGACACCGAGACCTTGAAATTTCGGACGTGGGATCCTGGGCCCCGTACCTGCCTCCTGCAGTGTAAGCCTGCGCGGTACCTGAATTGACCGGGTGGATATGTGAGTGAGTGATCCTACCTTGTGCGATTGATAACTCGCTGCTTATTCACCAACCGTCTCCCGTCCCTTTCCACTTCTGGGTTGTTGGTGGTCAAAGATGCCTCTGGCGTTGGCGGCTTTCTTGTTTTGGGTCGACAAGGAAGACCAACTTTCTGATACACGCACAAGAGCAAAAGGAGATGTCAGGTTCGTCCCAGCAAGGGGCAGGGGCCTTGAGAAGGCTGCTTCCAAGTTCCAGCCTTCCAACGCTGCGGGTTGAGAGCCATGTTGCCAAGTATCGTTCTATCCAAGCAATAACCCAGCTTTTCTCTCGATTCTTTCGAGAAAAAAACTTGGGCAAATAAGATGACGATAGGCGAATCGACACCGACAAAAATCGGCTTTTCCGTGCCCCTGCTCTTCGATAAACACCCTGAGAGCTCGTGCTCTGGTCGTCATCAAATGATCCCCTCTCATTTCATTGCTCGCCTTACCTTTAGTGTGGTATGCAGGACCTCTGCCAGCCCTTTTCATAGACTCACGAGGTAGCAGAAATGTATCCGTGTTACAACAGCCAGAGAGACCCCAGGCCCGGCCTCTGTGGAGATCGACGGGTCAACACCACTGCAGTGGAGCCGGGCTATAGACAGACTACCCCCCTTCCCTATATCTAGACTACTTAACCGTATTGAGCACACATTTTACATAAAATCGATAAATCCTATATTTTATAACTTTCCACCTGCTAAGCTACTAGAACCCTCCCCACACCCTTATAATCGACTGTTAGGACTAGCCTGGTATTTCAAACAGCACTATAACATACTATAGTTACAGTATAACTCGTCCTATAAAGTGCCCTATAAATCTACGGTCGCTAGCGTATATATTAGTAAAATCAATCCTATACTATACTCGATTACACTCGATTGCACTCGATTACCTATACCAGTGTACATTTGAGCTAGCCTTACAAATTACTTTATAAGGCACCCTACTTATAACTATAATTATATTCTCCCCTCTACCTCCTCTAGCCATACCCCCTAACGAAGATGATAATTATATATTCAATACCCTTATCGCTACTAATTAGATTATAAATAAGAATTTCATTAAGCGCGTCTTTGAGAATTGATTAGACTAATATAATCCTTAAGTTAATATACTATTAGAATAGTCTTTCTATAAAGTTGAGAATACTAAGCGCTTTCTAACAATCTTTAGCGAGGATAATAGCTTTATTGCTATAATTATCTCTTCTTTATTTCATTGTATTTACTATATATATGTAAAGTCTAGTACCTTTAAGCTAAAAGGGACTGGGTTTAAGAAGACTAATACTACTAAATATAATTATCCCTTTAGAATAGTTATTAAAATTAAAAAAAATTTACTTATTTCGCTAGAGTTTACTAACTTTTATTATAATTACCCGCTGTAGATTAAGGTATTTATTTATCCCTCTATATGTAAATTCACTTTAGAAGGAGAGGAATTCGTATAGTAATTTTATTAGCAAAGTTTCATAAATCTATAAATCCGATACGCATTCTAAAATATTTAACCTAATAATTATAATTCAATAAAGAATATTAATATTAAAAATAATATCCAACGCTTAAATTAAACGTACGCTACTAGTTTAATTAATACTCAAAAGCTACTAAGGGAATTAGAATTTCTCAATCTCTAGTATACTTATACCCTCAACCGTATTAGGAGATTTAAATTCTTAATTTTTATATTTCTCTAGTATTTGTAGATATAGTAGAAAAACCTAATAGTCTTAAATATCAATTGTATTTACAATATAAATCCCTCTCTCTCTCTCTACTAACCTCCTTATCTTCTAATTTATTTAACTAATTCGGTTCTCTATCTTTAAATTTTATTTTTTAAGTTAAAGATACTTATAATTACGGGGATAAACTCTATTAATATTACCTTCCCCGTTACATTTAATTTTAATTATAAAGAGAATAATGAATTTATAAACTAGTTATTTAAGTATTTTAGTGATTTTGCCTGTTGTATTATTATACTTTACCCTACTATTTATATTATTAATAACTCTATAGCGGAGAAGTAAGTTCTTACGCGTTACTTCTCCAATAATTAATTCTAATTCTATCTCTAGTATATATTTAAGAACGTTATTAAATATATTAATGATAATTAAGACAGTCCTTTGAGTAACTATAACTCTCTCGACCCTAAGACTATTAAGTTTAATACCCCTAATATTATTGAACTAATTGAACTGCCGCTATTACAATTGACTATTACAATTACTATTACTAGCGCCGACCCTGCTATTACTAGTACTAGTGCTAATACTAGACTCTAAGTACTATTAGGGAGACCAATTTTTAATAAGGTAGTAAGATATTCTAAAGCTCACTACTTAGAAGGGGTAATATATATTACTAATCTAATAGATTAAAATTATAGCCTGGGTGGGTTATTCTATCTTTTTAAAGCGATTTACTATATCGACCGGATTGATTATTATTAGTACTTGTAGGATTATTTAGATAATACCTTCTGTACTTACTAATCTAATAAATATATACTAAGGTCTAACTTTTTACCTCTATTTTAATTACTAGTTAATCCCTATATAATGGAGATTTAGAACTACCTTAATAATATACTCTAGCCTATCCGCCAATAATAGGTATAGTCTTATATAAAACGGTACTGTAATTATAGTATTATAACTACCAATTTGTAACGAACGGCAGTCTAATCTACCTAAATAAAATAACTAAAGGTAAGAACTATTAAAATCGTTCGGTAAAGCTAAAGGGTTTATAACAAGTATATTCGTAATACTAGTCTCAATAATAATAATCAAAATATATTAACTACTATCGAACTATTTAATAATCTAAATTCTCTAATCGTCCCTTTATACTTCCTATATCGTTTATTCTATAATTAGCTCACTTATATTATTATAATACTAATTTACTCCATAAGCCCGGCGTTAATTTACTAACGTAAGCCCGGAACTAGCTTACTAGTATAAACCCGGAATTAATTTACTAGCGTAAGCCCGGAACTAGCTTACTAGCGTAAGCCCTATTTCCAACGCCTTTCTTAACCCTACCCTAACCTATAATTATATAAATTAGCTTTTTTAAATTATTTATACTACCGATAGTCTAATTAGCCCGTATATTTACTTTAAATTTATAATATAATACTTCCCCTCCTTAACTAACGTCCTCAACGGCTTATTAATTCTTTACTATTATAATTTATATTTTTATATACTACGTCCTTTATTGTTCTAACTATAGTAAATTATTCTTTTTCCCTTATTATTCAAATATATTATCCTCTCGTATTTAGAAACGTCCTTCCCGGTCGGCGTTTAAACGCTAAAATTTAATTACTAATATTAAGCGTTTTAGAATTATTATTATACTTTATACTTACTACGCCGATTATTATCTTCCTTATAAAAAAATTTCCGATAATAGAAAATATATTAAATATATATAGTAGGTATATCTTTATAAATTTATTAATGCCGACGTAGAATATAAGGTTCCTTTTTATTATAATTATAAATATTATTAATAATTTTTAGTAATTAATATTATTATAACCCTCAATTAAATTTAGCGAACGAAGAATAAGCTTCTTTATTTTATTGAGGAGCGTTTAAAATAGATTAATGCCTAATAGAAGGATTTAAAGATATAGGTTGCCCAATTATCGGATTTGGAGCGGTAATAATAAGACTTGGCTTTTTAGGGTTGCGAATTATTTCTTTGTAATATAATTAAATTGGAAGTTTTAAAAGTAGAGGAGCGGGCAATTAATTTAGAGCTAGAGCTATTGCCCGTAGAGTAGTTAATAGGGAAATTTACCTCCTTTCCGCTTATTAATTGGATTTTACTAAACGTATTTACCTTCCCTTCTTTTTAATTGGATAATCCTTTTATTCCGGCTAATCTGGGTT